TTTTTTTTTTTTTTTTTTTTTTTTTTTTTTTTTTTTTTTTTTTTTTTGTTTGGGCCTATTCAACCTTTTGGTATTAGCTTACGTGAATTTCCTCCTTATCTTTCTTAATTAATTTAAGTTTTATCAATACTTTACTTCAATTATCTTTAATTATTGGTAATTCTCGCACGTGCCATGTGATCCAGTTTGATTAAGGAAATTTCAAACTTAACAATAAATTTTTTAATATTCAGTTAAATAATTAGTTTCTTTAGCTCATAAAATATAAATATTTGAATTTCTGACATCTAAAAAAGAAAGAAGTATTTTATTATTATTATTATTATTTTAATAGGATATATTTAAAGATTTAGGACAATTTTTCTTTGGTAAAAAGTCAACAAGACAACTCATTGACTTTCAATGTGAATAGCAATAATAAATTAGGGATATTTTTAACGTCTAAAACTATCCTGTGGGACCCAGCACCATCCTACCTACCCTGCGTCTGCCAGAAAATATATTGATTCCCGATTATCAACCTCATTATTTAAAGTTATATATTATAGAATCTACATACTCATTGATTATAATTTAAAGAGAAATGAAAATCTACCAACCCAGAAAATTAATATTATTATTATTATACAATCAATTTTATTTTTATTTTTATTTTTATTTTTAAAATGACTTTCGAATTATCAACTCATTTTAAGATTTATTAAAAATATAAAGACTAAAATTTAACATATGATAGAATATAAAATGAACCAAAAATAAATTAAAGGGGTTTGAGTTCAAAATTAGAAGCTTAAAAGACTTTCCCTAGTCGACCTAATGATGAGCTTGTTGGATGATGAAAGTTCCACATCGACTAATTTAGGGAATGATCATGAGTTTATAATCAAAAAATACTCTCTCTATTGGTATGAAGCCTTTTTGAGGAAGCTCAAAATAAAGCCACGAGAGCTTATGCTCAAAGTAGACAATATTATACTATTGTGGAGAGTTGTGTTCATCTAACGGAGCTAACCGAATTGCTAGAGGAAATTTCTTAATTTCATTGGACGTACCAAGTTGCTAAATATTTATAATTATTATTCTGAATATTCTTGCTAGCCATTTGCACCTCATACTTAGCTAACCAATGGACCCAGCAGAGCCATCCTTGAAGCAACCTAAGAGACGACTTTGAAATGAAAAATAATATCTACAAACATATGAATCTGGACATGGATTTATGTGATAAAGAGGCTAGATTGACCTGAATCTCTCTCCATTATCTCTCCAAGGTGAGTTGATAGCTCAACAAGGAGGACAGCTCCCTTTCTCCAACATTAGAATTTGAGTTTTGGATTTTAAAAAATGGAGAAACTAGACATTTGAACTAAGATTAGGATTTATGGATGATTAATTTGAACTGTAATTCGAATATTGCCGAGTAACTTGTAGCCAAGTTAATCATTTCGGCGACATAAGATGTCGAAGAACATGCTATTAATGAAGGACAGAAACAGATGAAACAAGCTGCCTACCTTAGCAACTACTCCTTATTCAGAACTTTAGGAACTCTGATATACGGCTCATCAAAGACTGGAACTGCGCCAATCATGGCCTCTCTGGGGATAAACAAAAGAAAAAATGGAGTTAGGACTGAAATTTCCTGCCCAATGTTGTAACAGCACAAGTTGCAAAATAACCAGGTTACCTGTTTTCGAATGTTTCAGAAACATCATCCCGCTGATTGCCACCTTCAGTATCTGTAAATATTAGGAAAATCAGTATGCTGCACTCTAGCTGTTTGTCTTTGTTGAGGAGTGTTGGAAGAGGAGTCCCATATTGACTAATTAAGAGGTTGTTTATAAGTAAGGAATACATTTTCATTGTTGAGGAAGCCAAAAGCAAAGTCATGAGAGCTTACGCTCAAAGTGGACAATATCATGCTATTGCGAAGGGTTGTGATTCCTAACCGTCTTAACCGTCTTGAGGTTTTTAGCATTTTAATAACTTGATAAAATTATGATCCAAAAATCTCCCAGAAAGAAATAGAAACATCTGTGGGTGGGGGAGCAGCTTTTTTGGTATCTGAAATCGTAATCAATTATCCTGGCCATGATAGCTCAAGTAAACAGTGCTAAGTTTCGGGTCCTATTGCTGCTATCCCCCTCCACGATATGCTTCATTGCATCACCAGTGTCGTGAGAAGTAGGCAATGCCTCCACATCTTATGATCACTATTTTCCAATGAAAATAACGATTATGTGATTTAAATTTCCATTTTGAATAGACGTGCGATTTGAAATCAACACTTAACAGTGAGAAACAAGCGAAAGCATGGCTAGAAGAACAGCAAACAAGTTTCAAGATGATTGACAGTAATGAACTCCTAAGAGTTGTTGCATGTACCTGCCCTAATGGAAGGCTCAATGCTTTGAAGATCAACCGCCTGGAGCTGCCCAAACCTAAAACATAACATTATCATATTAAGTTAATAGAAACCACAACAGCCAAGAGAATAAACTTAACCGAATGAACAATTTCATTGGAAGAATGAAAAACTCAAACAGAGAGTTAATAGAACGAACAATTTCATAAAAAGATATATAAATCATGTTCCCAGTGCTTCTATCTCAGCACATAGTCTAAACTCTTGAGTGACTCAACCGACATACAGATATAAGATTTTAATCCAGTCAGTTCTAGCCAGCATCTCAACCTACTACTTTTACTTTTAAGAATTTGTTAAAAAAATCTCCAAAATAAAAAAGAGTGTAAAAAAACATTTTGGGGGCATAAGGGGATGGTGCCACAGTGGTGAAGTCACCTCATTAAGTGCAGACTTGGTCTTGCAATCCTGAGCAAGAAGATCTCGACTTGGACAAGCTCAAAAACAGAAATGTGGCTTTAACATCCAAATTGGCGGGCCATTTCTCTCAAAAGAGAAAGAAAAAAAAAATCCCCAGATAAACATCATTATTAGCAAATATGGTTAAATGGCTGTTTACATTATTATTGTAACAGAAATGGCTGTAATGTAGGAAGTTTGGGATTTAATTTGTTCGATTTGCTTACCTTGGTGCACTCTTATTTTTCGTAACCATGATTCTATGCTTGCTTTAGTACTAATTGGGCTTGTCCTTTGTAATCCCCTATGATGCACCTTTTGTAACTTTTCACTATTTGAAGAAGAAGAAGAAGAAAGATGCGGATGATTACAACAGTAATCCTAATGTGGAGGGTTCTCTAGATTCCTGAGTTTGATGCTTGCACATTGTTAAGAAATCAACAATGAACACTGGGAGGAAATAGAAGTTTCAAGTATTCAAAATTTCAAAGCAAAACTAGAGATAACAGAACTGCATTAAATGTTCCAATTCGCTCATAAGATCATCGTTAACCCCGAAAGTTAATGTAAAACAGGTTATAAAGACAACAACATAATCTCATTTGATCTTGTCACCCTTTCTTCAGCTGAGGGAAGTAAATGTAAATTCATAGAATCTCATTTTACAACCTGCCCCTGAAGAATTCCCCTCAATGTGTAGGGCATAAGAGGCAACTGTCTCATAGTAAGTTCCCTAGAGGCCAGACACCAACAAAGACCATCATCTTTTCAGTCTCACCTAAGATAACAAACCAACATTTACGATAACCAAGTCTGAGCGTTCGCCACAGTCGCGGAGGTCACATACTTTGAACAGCATTCTTTTACCCTAAATTTATCTAGATGCCTAATATTTTTCAAGGTCTATCAGTTTCTGTGTGCGTGAGAGAGAGAGAGAGAAAGAGAGCGAAGCTTACCAGTCAACAACCTGTCGAATCTTAGGAGCAAATTCTTCAACCTGAAAGCGAGAAGCGGATTTTACTTGAAGAAGAAGAAGATCGAAGAAACAGAAGAAAACATTGAGATGGTGAAGGCCTCACATACCTCATTCGGATTGAGGGAAATTCGAGCTGTTTCAGCTAAACGAGGAACATCGGGAGGTTGAAGAGAGGCACGAATTCCTGGAGCAGTCGAACATTTCCGGATTCTGATACTAGAAACAGGAAGCGAATTCAAACTGGTAGAAATGAAGATTTGGGGATTCAACGATGGAAGTGATGAAGCTCCTTTGAGCAAACGCAGAGCTCCACTTCCCATTTCCAAACGCGAAGGGGAAGACGATATAATTTGGAACCAGCCGCCAAGTTTTCCACTGCGGCTCTATAACATGTATCGTTTTGGGAAAATATCCCCCACAGAATTAAATTATATTTTCGGTTATATTTCAAATTTTGTATTTATTCACAAATAAATAAATTTGGTTTTTTACCTTTTAATCTCTCAGAATATAAATTTTATATAAATTGAATTATGTTAAAATATAATATAATTTCTATATTAAAGTCTATATTTAATTTAATCTCTATCCTTTTAAAATAGATTTCGAGTTAAAAATAAAAGGAAATAAAAAAGAGGAATATTTATAAAATCAAATTGAAATTTAATATATTTTATATATTATTGAAAATACGAAAATAATTTTGTGCATATAATTTGAAATTAATTTATAATTAATGATTAATGTTCAGTTAAAAAAATCAAATATAGTAAGATAGACTTTTGGTATACTTTTTTCTTATTTGCACTTCATATAAACCAAAGTCATCTATTACAATAAATACGTCTAATGTGTTGAAAATGAAATGGTCGGTATAGCTCAATTGGTAGAGCAGAGGATAAAAATCTTTGTGTCACCGGTCTACTATTGAATATA